TTCCCATATAAATACAATAAAGAATAGATGATATATTAGCCAACGAATTTGCCGGGAACATGTGATATAAACTAAGCTACAAATAATGAAAAATATTGTAAACAATGGATATATCAAAAATATGCTTACTTAGATTACGGTTAGCAAAATCCCATTCACGTTCAGATGTTTAGATAAATAATTTCGGCAATTTTAACTTGATGCCTTAGGATACGAATGCGCAGTACCAACTTTCTTATTTAAGAAAGCATTTAAATTAAATTTGTACATGGCCACTTAGAATAACAGCAAACCAAACGCCAGTTTCAAAATTTGGTTTTGCACATGTGCAGTAGCAACTTTCTTATTTATGAAAGCATTAAATGAAATTTGATACATAGGCACTTGCAATAAAAGCAAATCTATCGCCAGTTCCAAAATTTGGTTTTGCGCATGTGCAATACCGACTTTATTATTTATGAAAGCATGGAAATGAACTTCTTTTTATAAACTGCAATTGAAGTAGGACATCAAAAATTGATTGCACTTATGCAACGCTATCTTTCATATTTGTGGCCGGATTTTTACGATTTTAATAGAAGTTGCATCTTACAAATGGGAAATGAATGCAAGTGGAAATGCGCTTTTTGTAAATCGTTATCGAATACTTTTTTAACTTTCGTAACAAAGAACATCTACTATCGACAATTGGTTAGACTTCAACTACAAAAGTAGCATTTCATTACAACGAGCCTTAAGTTTTTTTTTTTTATTTTAGAAAAAATTCAAATCATGACGCGTTGCTGCAACGGATGTAATACCCGCTATAAAATCAATTCATTGATTGAGAAATGTTTGAGGAATTGTGAACAATGCAGAAATCTGTTCATAATACGTTCTACATTTTCTCCGAGTCTAACCCTTAACCTTCACGCCGAGGTCCACAATTAAACAATGCCCTAGTTCGATTGGAAATCAGTAAAATAACTCATTAAGGTTTAAACGCCTTTTTATTAGCACATCAATATGGCAGAACAATTAAGAAGTTTTACTTCGTATTAAGCAAGTTTACTGGCGAAGCCGCATTTAAACCTTTACTGGGTACCATTTACGGTTAGTTACCTCATCGGTAAAACTTTGCAACTGTCCGTAAAAATAACTTTTTAAATTAAACTCCAAGTAAGTAGCATGACATTTACGACAGTTGCATCTTAAATGTCAAACATTATAACTTTACCGACCATAACAAGAAGCTATGAAAATTCCGACGTCGAAACTACTGCGCCCCGTAGTAACTTTTAAATTAAAACTGCTCTTGGGACGTCACGCGCGCCCTATTGCACATCATGCCAACTTAAGAAAGTAAATAAACCCTGTCCGTACGACAATTAAACTTAACGGTATTACGATTGGTATTATACACGTAACAACAGTGAAGACGAAAATTACTTGGAAAATAATATTAGGGGTGTTAGTCGGCTTTGATCTAAATTTATAACACAATATGCTGTTCCATTTCCGCGCGTATAAAATTAAACATGGTTAAGCGTAAATAAAACCCTCGATCGCGATGGATGATATTTATAGTACCTATAGGCATTGCAAATAAAGTAATTCTACTTTTAACTGATTTCTCTCAAATAACTAAAGTAATACAAAGTAGAAAGGTGAGGAAGGGTGGATTTATTGACATTTGCTCGTGGGTAAGGCGTTGAATTTCTCTAAAATTCGTTTTAAAGTATTTGAACTAGAGATCAAATATGTATAAGGGGTGTTTATAATTTAGTTCTAGCTTCTAGTAAAAGGTCTATTTGGATTTAATTAACTATATATGACGAATTGTGTCTTAGTTGTTCATCAGGTACATACAAAGGTGCGGGTTTGTGTACATAATAATTCGTAGTTACACTACACCTCGTTAATTTAATGTTATAAAGTAATGTAGCAGGCATAATTTACTTGCAGGTTGTCACTTACAATGATTACTCAACTTCGCATGGAATGAGTATCTCTATGTCGTCATTAGGTGGTCACCCAACAACATTCAAATGAGACTCAAAGCTAAATACTTTTTTAGCCTTTTTAGTTAGGCCTTCTTGTATGACATCCATCAATCGAATATCTTTAATCGTTAATTATACAGAGCGTTACAAGTTGGATACGTTAGTATTGCTAGAAAATTTAAACCAGTACATCAACTGCACCAAGACCAACATCAAGAATAGAGTGCCAGTCGAGGTACCAGTCTTTACAAAAAAACGAATGAACGACTATAATGGCCAAAAGTAATTAAAATAAACAATATGCATAAGGTGACCTAGGTGACCCGTAAGAAACGCACGTACCGCTCACAGAATTCAGTCAATTGTTACCACACTCGAAACAACGCCGACTTTAACCTCGAACTCACCATTGACCGAACTTTCACAACAAAAGATCGGCAGGGTATAAATACGGAAACCCAAACGCCAAGGAGACACTGGATACTGTCAGTTAGTTGAGCGCCAATGCCTCGAAACGACACTGGTCCCGGTAAGCCGTTTCAAGGTAAAGCGAGCGTGATAACCTTAAGGCGGTACCGGACCGTCCTAGCGAGACCTTCTATAATATCGCGGCGAGAGAAACCTCGTCCAAGCGCCCCTCTCCCTCTCTCTGCCTTGTCCGTTGGGTGGCGATAGCTCGACACATGATCGAGAGGAAGCTGACCTTTACCAAGGCCAAAATCCTCTCGTCCGAGTCCAGCCCGCCACCACGACTGATTATAATCACAAAACTCTTTGACGAGTTGCTGGTGCGTTACCACACCTGCCAACTCTTCTTCTAAACGTAGCAGTACAGGGCCTCCCCGTAGAAACAACAATAGAGCACTTGAAGGCGGAAGGCCACACAGTGGCCTCGATAGCCCGGATGAGTCCCGGAAGTGGTCGACAGGCGATGTCGTTGGCGCTGGTCTAGCTACCGAAACCGGACCCCTCTAAGCGTATCTTCAAGAGATACACGTGCTTCGGGTTCGATCCGAGACCTAATCTGGGAGAAGAACCGATCCAGAGCGCGCTTTCAGCTTTTGTGGGATCCATTAGACCGAGCCGAGTTCCGAAAACTTCAAGAAGAGGTAAAGACTGCCATCCGCGACTTCGCAAATCGAGTCCCAGGAAAACCGCCTGCGATCCTTGAGCGAAGACGATTGCTCCTCCTGGTAGAGGGCGCTGCGCCGTACCCTACCGAGATCTTCGGAGTCGAAGAACTGGTGTACACAGACATCTTTGCGGAGTGTCTGAAAGGTCAGGTTTCCCCAATTATGAAAACGCGTATCTAGACGCCGTCAACCGAAGGGTCAGTAGATCCCTGCGTTGAAACGAAGAAGCGATGCGGCCCACGGCCGAAGAAAATCTTCCGGCACCATAAAAAATACCAATCCGAGAAAGGCCCCCAGAACCGAGCGGCATCAGGAACAGGGCGCTTAAGCAGCTCCCTCAATATGCGGTGGGAGTTCTCGCTTTTATTCTGAACGCGATGCTAAGACTGCGGCACTTTCCATCTAGGTGGAAACGTGCCGACGTAATTGTGTTAAGGAGACTGGGCCAGTCTACGACGTTCCGACAGAACTGCTGCTCGACGATCGCCAAAGTAGCGGAAGTGGTCAGACTGAGGAGACTGCAGGACAAGGTGTGTCATTTATTCGTCAGAAGGCTTCAAGCGCAACCACTCCACGGGTTCAGTGTTTTTAGACGTTTCTAAGGCGCTCGATAACGAAAATACGGGACACAACCCTGGCTCTCTACGCGCACGACCTCGCCATCCAGGTACGGTCGTGGAAATCAGCGGTCATCTTTAGGGAACTCCGGACAGTATCGGACGACCCAGAAGAATGGTACACCAAATGGAGGGTCACTGTCGACGCTGAGAAGAGCTCGGTCGCCCTTTTCACGAAAATAAGACACAATCTCGCGGGTAACCTCATCATCTTCGGAAATACCATTCGGTGGAGGACCAAAGCGAAAACCTTGGCATGGTGCTGGACCAACGTCTGATGTGGGGTGCCCACGTCAGATATTGCACCCAAAAGGGCCACACGCAATATCGCTTCTTAACACTAACTTTATTTGGCTTTGCGCCAGGCCCACCCACCCGTTAGGGTTTTGGGCTTTTAACTTTCACATAATGTATAATGCTCACCGACACCACAGATATACGTAAAGACGTATATCTGTGCCGACACCGACACCGTCACCGACACTATGTTTCCTCTTCTAGCCCCTGGCTGCAAGGACGGCGTACTGCTCCTGCCTGTTGCTCTCCTCTATCTTAAAGCCTGGCTGAAATCCCGCTGTTCTTCTTGCGTTGATTCGCTTCGGTAGGGTGCACTCATGAAGAACGTGCTGTGCCGATCCTTGTTCGTCGCATGGGCACGTGCCGTCCGTTGGCCGTAGTCTGAACCTTTGGTAGTAGAAGTTGAATGGTCCGTGGCCCGTGATCACCCAAATTGCCTCCCTGCTCAGCTGGAGGGCATCATTCGGGACCTTGGGGATGAGTTGGAATGTATGCCTGCCAGTGTCCGCTGCTTCCCACTCCCGCCGCCATTTCTCACGCATTTCCCTGGTGGTAGTCTGCTTGTATGTCGAGGTAGGGGTTTCAATGACTCTTTGGGCGGCTGCCGGTGTCTGTCCTTTAGCTAGCTGGTCAGCTCTGCCGAGGCCTGCGTTGCCCTTGTGGCTCCAATAGTTAACCACGTAGCCCTGCCCTTTAGCCTGTAGCCAAGCGTTGTAAATTTGAAGAGACAATTGGTCGCGGTGAGTAAAGGTAACGAGGGATTGCAATGCGGTTCTGGAATCGGAAATTATATGTACTGAGGAGGATGATGGGAAGCGTGTTATCGCAAGGTGCCTTCCAGTATGGCTACCTGCTCAGCCTGGTGCGTGCTGTTTCGGGGGTGTAGCGTGGTAACCCTTTCCCAAACTGTAGCTTTGAATTTCGCGCTGACCGCCGCTTTGATTTCTCCCCTTTTTCTCGCTTTTTAACAGAAACTAAGCATCGAAGTCAGGGTACAGCTGTAGATGTTGATCGTCCGAACAACGATGACCTACTGTTCATCAGTGTGGGGTTACGCCGCAACATCACAAGAGTGCAGATCGTCCAAAACAAGTCCTGAGGATGGCTGTAAACGCCCCGTGGTTCGGGCGGAACGCGGACATCCTTCCAGATGTGGACATGCTCACCATCAAGGAATTCATCACCACGGCAGCGGTGAAGACCATCGGTAGCCTGGGAGACCACCATTCCGTAAGTATTCAAAATCATTTTACTTGCAGTCCCTAAATGCAAATCCTTGCCTCCATTAAATGAGTGCGTATCCTTTCCCCAAAAAATTTATATAGTTGTTCCCGAGGTTGTTCCTATGTACATGCTCCTTGTAGTTTCTTGCCTCTCATGCACGAAAACTTGACTATTCTAATAGACAATTAGCATATAATCGATATCTTAGGAGGAGTAATGCTTTGTTAATCGAAATTTATCTTTGGAAGAGCAATTACTCAAGAGATCAAACCAAAGATCCGTGAGCAATTGCGCAAATTTTCCAGAGCCAAGATCTCGGAGGGAATTTTTTAGGAGCAATTATTAGGGAACTCTCTGACGTAAAATTTTCTTGAGAGCAGCTTCTTCTGAGTGGCGAATGTACCGGTAGCGAGTTTGCGTAGGGTCGGGGAGGAGTTTTTTGTAACTCTGATAAGACAAATACCTAAGATACTGCATCTCGAATCACAAGAAAATTGATGTAAGGAACACTCCACTCCGCCATACAATATTTGGTGAATTTTACCAAAGTAATCTCCCATTCCTTTTGAAATGACTTCCTTTAATAATTATTATCCTTTGTTTAGTCTGCGCGGTTGGCAAAATGTAACCCGCTGCTCTGTTTTTCAGCAATTTTATCTGCACAATAGCCCCCAATTGATTTCGACAAATCGGTAATGGAATAAATCGTCGCTTCCAGTGTAATCTATTTTTACCTTTTTTTTTGTCACTGTATTATACAAGGGACTGCAATTACGAACGGGATTGAAATGCGGGCCGCTCCGACAACATTTTTGAAATAAGCGTTTTAAATGTAAAACAACTCGCTTCAATTAGTACGTTCATTTTCCCTATTATAACAGCAAATTTGGAAATCTGACAGAAGGGCGGTTTCGTTTGATGTAGTAATTTAGATAATAGTAGCGAGCCCATCGTTTCGCACAGCTGCGAAGTCAATTTAGGGCAAAATTATACTCGCAGGCTTTCTATACGATTCTTGGTTTTTCGTGGGGCCTAACGGAAAATCTTTACCCTTTTCCTATATTAAAACGTTTCTAATTTATATTTTGTAAAAGTTTGTGTTCTCCGGTACTAATTGAAATTTTGTGGCATCTAAATCATTGTGATCACCGAAGAGTCAAAGGATGTGTGTTTAAGCTAAAGGCATCTTGTTTAAATAGGTAGATCTGATCTGAACTCCTTTGAAGGTATCAGGTAGCCAGTTGTGTTCACTGATTTATTATACTTGACTTACGTCCCCTAAAGATTAAATAAGTTTGTACATGGTTTGGTAGTCGAAATTCAGACCAAAGTTCTACTAACGTTTACTTATTCAATAAATCTTTCCTTTAACAATTCCATGCGTAGTCGGTTTCGTTCAAATTTGATAAATGGCATTTAAAAAAAATTTAAATCTCCTACTTTACTTGTACGTTTGACTGAAGTTTGGTTATACCTACGCAATGCGCCAGACCTTACGTATGCTCGCTACTTTGATTTTTATATTTACGTTTCCCTCTTTTAAAGAGATTACATATTTCAGGATGTTCCGCTTCGAGTGCATTTGGAATCATTTTATAAAGTATGTAATATTTACCACCGTACACGTATAGCAGTCGTTTCTTTTACGACCGTACAAGCTTATACATTTGCCATAAAAAAGCATATTTCGTACAAGCAGGGACGTAAATTTTTCCTACGCTGTAAATCTTATTTCCTTTGTAGAAAAGTAATTCTGCGGAAATAGGTAAGATGAGTAAATAGTACTTCGAGTTACTTTCTTTCAGTGTACAATGAAATATATCTACTTTTGAATTGTACCTCATTGTGAAAGAACATTTACTGAACGTATCATAGAATTCCCGTAGACTTTTATTCCTTGCCACCCTTATTTTCCAGTTCTATACCGTAAGCTACGGGTGCATTTTTTTTTTAAATTATGTGCGTACTTATGATAATAATGTCACACAAACAAATTTCTGGGATGTCACTTTGTAACTAACAAATAAATTGTACAGGGTGTTCCAAATTGATTGTTTTCAAAGTTTTTGTGGGATATTTTGAGAACTAAAAGAGGCAGAGTGCTGCAGAGTGCACTTATCGGAGTTACTTTTCAAAGCTGCTAGAATGACGATGCAAATTTGGACGTATAGTTTGTGTGAACGTGGCAACAGTGAAAAAGTTCAAAAATGCAACGAAAAGTTTTTACTTTATAACTTTTGTATATATATATTAGTTTTTTGTGGGAATATCCATAAAGTATAAAGTTACGTAGAAATAGTCGCGTAGTGAGAGGGTATTTTTATATCTTCCGTAGCTTGCTTAGTTTCTAAGATACAGCACTAAAGTTTGTTTTTTCAAATAAAATGCATTTTCTCTAGAAAAAAATAGGAATTTATTGGTACAAAAAATATAAATTCCATTTGAAAAAACAAACTTTGGTGCTTAAAAAATCTTAAAAGCAAAGGAGGCTATGAAAAATTTTTACTACACACCCTTACTAAGAAACTATTTCTACGTAACTTTTATTCTGTCTACTTTTTTGATATTCCTACAAACAACTAAATTATAAAGTAAACACTTTTTATTGCATTTTTGGACTTTTGCGCTGTTGCCACGTTCCGCCAGTCATACGTCAAAATTTACATCGTCAATCTAGGAAGCTTTGAAAAGTATTCGGAAAAGGGCAATCCGCATCATTCTATGTTCTTTAGTTCTCAAAATATTCCCGAAAAACTTCGAAAACAAGTAATTTGAAACACCCTGTACATTGTGTCCACTAAGAAGACGTCTATTATGCGGATCTCGGAACCCATAGAATATGTAGGTATACGAAGATGGTCAAATTAGACAAACGTCGTGCAATTAAACAGTTATTACATATTTTGATGTAAATAAAGCCAGAAAATTCCGATTACTTCCTAGGATATGCTAGAAAAATCGAAATTTACCGATTTTGTTTTTAATATTTTCTGATGTTCTTTGAACAGTAGCGAAAAAGTAAAAAAATACTTTCTCATAGCCACTATCTGAGTTCTACAAGACACCGTGGGGAGGTTTTCAATATTAGGTTTCGTTTCGGAGAAATCATCATCGACTTTATTTTTTATATGGCCCGTAAAAAAATACATGCTGTATTGAGTAGTATTTTTCATTAGGAATACAACGATGCTTGCACACAAAAAAAAACAAAAGTTGGAAACTGTTGGTTTCAATTACTGATCTTTGAGGGCAGTGGTTTCAACAGGATGGTGCACCTGCACAATAAGAGAGTTTTTACGTAAAACAGCAGCGACGATTTACTCAATCGAACTTGCTATACAGCAGAGATTCCTAAAACTCGCAAGATTATAAGGGATTCACAAATAGCGGTGAACTTACGTATCGATACGATGTTTTTTTTTAAATCTTGTTAAATTATCTTCTTTTTTGCCTAGCAAACTTTGCCTTGGGTAAGTGTATGTTCGTAGTTTCTTGCGTTTTTACGAATTTTTGAAATCGGAAAAAAAATGCCCTATGAAATGATACAAAAGTAAAACTGATTTCCATAAGAAAAAACGAAGTTGATGATGATTAACCGGAGACGAAACGTCAGACATAAAATTTGAAACTAGCATTTTGTAGAGGGAAAAAAGTCGCCATAATAATGTGTCATTTATTTTGATATTTTTTTTAATATCTACGATAAAAAATATAAACGATTTTGCAAAATTTCGTTTTTTTCAGGATACCTCCGAAAGAAAGGAATTTTTCAGTTTCAATTATTAAGCATCAAACAGGTCAACCGGGCAGGTCGCTTGAGAATGTATACTGTCTTTTAGGAGAGTGTAAGTTGGTACAAATGGGCATGGGGGGAGGGGGGGGGGGTATCATTTCTGCCGTTGTCGTTGAAATAAACGGTACGTACTTTACGAAAGAAGTTTAAAGTGGAAAATCCGAAACCATCGAATTAAAATTGCCGAAATTTTCTATCTAAACGTATTTTAGCATTATTGTTGATATCTTTCAGAGGTACAGGGTTACTTAATTAGTTAAACACATTTCTGTTTATGTCCTATCATATGTTTGCATTTAACCTATCTTTATTTTACTTACATCGCAATCCGAAACCCGTTTATTAAAGGGATACGTAAGTTTGAATTAATTTGATATTAGTCTCATATTAGTACTATAGTTTTTAGGCGAATAGTTTTGTGTACCTAACGAGCGTTTTGGTGGGTTTGTATACTCATTATCCTTAGTTTACTATCATTAAAATAGCCAATAGAAACAAAGGTATCGTTTTGTTAGTTAGCGACGCAGCGTAAAGCTTGATAGTGAACTAATGATAATCAGTGCATAAACCCTCCATTAGAGTGGTCGTATTAAAGAAGTAGCTTTGTTCTTTACGAAACACCATTGTTTATTATTGAATCGAAGATTGATATCTGTCGGTTAGCTGGAATTGATCTGACACATGGTATCTAAGATCGATAGACTGCTACGCAAATATCTGAAATACCGGAGTGGCCAACGTGCAGATAAACTGTGATTGTCGTGAGGAGTTGCTCTACAATGGAATACCTGAATACAGAAGTCACACAAGCACAATTAACTGTAAAGTTCCTTGTCATTTTCCTTTTGCGTTTGTCGTGATTGTTAACGCAACAACTAACTCACGTTCCAAAACCCTAAAATTCTACAGGACCGTACTACTCTAGCTGCAAAACATTCTAAAGTTCTCGGTCGATTTGTGAGAAAAGAATTGATTCAATGAATTCTCTTATCTTTTTGACAACACTATATACCAGGGAGATTTTAGTTACCTACTCACTTCTTCCTTATGAAGCAGTCCCGGTTACGTTAACTTGCTATCAGTCATAAAGAAATCGTAAATGATATAGCTATAAAAGTGAAGGTAATGTATCATTTTACGTTCACTTATCTTAAAATGGAGTTCTATAAAGAGAAATAAGGGCTGTGTAGTTTTATACCATTAACTTATAATACAGATTATAAGAAAAACATCACTTTACGTAGATTAAAAGGTGTGTATATAATCAATAGTAATTTATGACTACCATAAGATATAGTTTCTCATAATTAGGTGCCTACACAATCTTGTTGGTAGCTTCACATACTATGGTATTCTAACAAAAATTTTTATGGCGTCTTGAAACATTTCGTCCTATTTTATTTGACACGAGTTTCCCCGTTCCTTAGTGAATTTTTCTTGCTTCTGATATACGGGCAGAAGAAAAATGGTATTTGCATAGGTAGCTAACGACAGACTGTCAGACTTGCTTCGTGTATTTCTGTTGAGGACGTCACGAAAGCACTTGAACTTTCAGATGACAAACGAGTCGCGTACTGCTTTTGCGAGAGTTAAAGTGACACAGCACTTTGTAACCGGACTGAGATATTTGCAAACATATTTTTATGAAAATTTGCAAGCAAATGCACCATACGCAATTATTCCTATTTCTATTTAGAGCATGTTGTGGTATAAATCCTCTGTCACATGTGATTGATATGATTTTTGACATTCAAAGAATTTTAGAAGATATTTGATGTTTACGTCTACTGAATGGGTTACAATTTGAAATATCTTTCACTTTCTTTTATTTATGAATCCCTTCGCTGCAAAAGAGGGTAAAAGGGAAACCCACTCAGTTTTAAAGTAAATGTAAGAATAATATCGTCGCGCCAGAAAAATCGAACGTGAAAAGACGATGAATATTTTATTCATCCTATATGAAAAAAAAAACTTTTTCACGTCTACATAATATAATCTAGTGTAATTTCGTCTACAATGCAACATACGCACTACAGGTGACAAGGTCAGTTACATAATAAGAGTAGGAGAGCAGTACCCGGAAATAATTAAGGGAAGCACATACTTCGAAATTTAAAAAGCAATTGCTATACGTTTTAGAGTTCACTTTCATATTTCACTGTTGATACTGGTTATTCATAGGCGGTCGAGTTGAGAACATTGCTAACACAACTGAAAATTTATTTGACTTTTTCCCCCTTTGGAATGCCTGAGTAATGACAACCAAGGGCTTCATATTGCTCTCACATCTCCAAAGTTATGTGATATATACGCAATTCTCGTATTTATCACATTGTACAACTGTCAACCCCCATGTTCCATTGTAGTTTATTCCGCCCCCGTTTGCGTTTACAATTGTCACGCAGCCTCTCATCGACCTGACGTCTAAATTCGTAATAATCCTCTAAGAATCTTTTAAGTACGATAAAATTGAGAATCAATAGGGAGAAGCTCAAGTTTTCCTTGCAATTAATTAAGGACGCAATACGGGATTCCAGCAGTAAGCGTTTAATTGACTAGGGATTTAACTCATTAAATTTTCATAAGAATTGAAGAACACCCCAATTTAGAATCAAATTATACCATCAAGCTTCAATAACAATTTGTTAGGATTCATTATGAAATTTTGTGTAAAACTAGAGCAAGAGGAATTTCTCTCCAATGTAATACTTTGTGAAATTCAAGAACTCCGCTTCATTATACTGTAATATAAAACGGGACTCATTCATTTTGAAATCTTCTTAATAATTGAAAGGGATGTTCGTCTTGACATAATAATTAAGTTTCGTCGTAGGCGTTCTTCCAAAATGTACAGGGTGTAATTGTAGGGGTTATGGGAACGACTCCGTACGAACTTTGACTGTGTGAGCGACATGGAATATATCTCTGACACAAATCTTTTGGTTTTGGATGAAGGTTCAATCGTTTCTAAATTCGAAAACGTGTAACATATTTTACATGTCGAAATTTAACAAATAGCTTGACAAATCCAATATTCAGATTTACAATCCTCACGTTTTTCCAATTTGACATTGTTTGCGTTTTGAAAGCTGTAAATTTGGAGTAAATACCACCATAGATAGGTCTGGTTAATTTACGTTTACTAATTGTAAATTTCATATTAATTGTTATAGCTAGTGTCTAAAATGTGTAAATGTCATGCAGAATTCCAGGGCTGGGCCAAATAAATGAAACTGTCATACCGATAATCGTCACTGAAAGTAGCAACATATTTTATTTTACGGATTACTACTCGGCTTGCCCAAACTAACGTAAAACTTAACATTGACTGGGTTCGTAAACACAAGTTTGTTAAACAATAGGAACCCTTTAGCAATCTCAATGAATAAGGCAAATAATTGTGATTAAAAGTGGTCATATGTGCTGCGATTGTAGCGAAATTAAGAATAAATCTATTCCACCCGGAGATTCTAAGAAAACTACAAACGCTATTAATATTTTTGGGTGATAAAATGGCGAAAATTGCCTTAACTTTATCGGGGTCTGGATCAGTTACAATATTTAAGCGGTGCTCGACTCCACTTTATTTACACTCAAACCGACAGCCAGGTAAATGGTCAAAAGATTCTATCAAAACATGCATATGGGGGCCCAACTCCTTGGTTACTGCCACCACTACCACTTGTAGGTACACCAGTACATGGAGTTGCGTGTCAGATTGTATCGACAAATACGTTTCTAGGTTGCGGGAGCGTTAGTCAACCCAAACGGCATTCTACGAAATGGATAAAGTCCTCAACCAATGACTGCACAGGCAGTACAAGGACGTGAAGTCTTAGTCATAGTCACTGCCAATAAGCAGACATCCCTGTTGCAAATGTTTCATAGAAAACAATCCGTTCCAATAAAAATTCTATTGTGTCTTATTGGTTTATATTGGCAGAATTGGAAACGGTCTGGAGAACGATCTTAGTTTTGTTGGCTACTATAGCGTAAATCCAATAGCATTGGCCGTTATTGTAAATGGGTGATTCGAATTGTAAAAAAAAACTATTGTGGTTACACAATAGAAACGTTTGAATTTCTATTGGGACTTTCCAACAAGATGCACAATCGTTTTTGTATCTGTTGGCTTCTAACGTGTTTTTCCAATATTATTGTATTTGAAAGGGAATAAACAAGTTTTCCATTGTGAAAATTAATTGTTGGGAATTCCCAATGTAAATGTTACGATTTATATTGTGAATTTTCAATAGAAACAAGCACCGTTTTGGTATTAGTTGTCTCCTAATGGTGTGTTATTGCTTCTATTACCTTACCTGTTGGATTTGAGTGGTTATGATTTGATGGAGAAATAGCAGCGTTTTTTGTAGTTTTCAATTGGGGAATTTGTGTAGGTATCTACCGCGCATTCGCATTTCGCATACGCAAGACGAGACGTAACCATAACCACGAATTCTTTGCGTGTATTTTTATTTCCAAGTTTCTATTTTAACGATTTCGGTTTACGAAGACAAATACCTAAACTGTAGGTAAGTGATATAATTTTTGTGTTATTTTTAATTACAATGGTCGTATTTGTTGTGTTGATTATGTACAACCTATACCTACAACTTTATAGGTTAGGTATGGCATTTGTTATTATTCCTATTATTTATTTATGAAACAATAATGTATATAATGCCAGTAGGTCATTTTATGTGGCAAAAGATTTTCGAGTAAATACAAGTCTAGTATTTTCTAGGGGGAATGTGACAAACAATTAATAAAACAATATCGATATTGTATCTTGAGCATTCCTCCGATTCCTGCTTAAGAGTTATACGACCCCATTAATGAAACATAATTGTACAGAATAGGGCTCATAGTACTATTTTTTCTGTTTCTGTTTTTCAGTGACGCTTCGAGTTTAAACAATATTAGAAGATGTATGCATATGTCATCTTCGAAGAAGACAATGTGCCACTTGTCGTGTCTATTATTAATTAATGACATAAAATTTAAAAATTCAACTTACGAAAACTATAATTCGGCAAAAACGTACAAAGTAAAATATACCGATGGTCATTTTTATAAGGCTTTTATCATCGCAGTAGCGGGTAAGTTCCATAAAAGCTTGATTGGTTTTGTTGTTAGTATGAAGGTATTTGTTTAGAAACAATGGAAGAGGTCAAAATGAAAGCCGAGGAGAAGCGTATTCGTTTGCCTGCTGCCAAACTGAGGGAGTTAAATGTTGCAAACGATGAGATTAGTTCATCGGACAATGAAAATATTCCTCTTAATACAGTGCGAGCAATAGTATTATTACACAATATAGAAAATAAATATTGAACATTACAAGAAAGCATCAAACAGTCTCTGGAAATATGAACGTAGTCTCAAATTACTAATGTTGTTACACCATGCTTTACTACATTCACATTGCCAAAGAGTCGTTTATGTTTTTTTTTAAATTATATAATATACGATATAATACAATGCGATCAAATATGAGTTGCAGTCGCGTCGCCTTTGGAATTTTTGTTTACATGGGAAATCATATTTAACTTGAACTACCAAAGGCGACTTCAATGTCATTCCTTTTTTGATCACCTGTTACTTTATTCAGATGGAACGAAATTCCACAAAAAAACAAAAGAAGAGTCAGGAGAGAGCATACCAATTAGAAAATTATCACAAAATAATGAAGTCTGTGTCAAATCAAGAAATGCCCATGGATCTGCCAAATACTATGGAAAGTAAAAATTGGAAAGAAAAATATGAAGAATTAAAAAAAGAAAACAAAGCATTAACGGAAGAAGTCCAAAAGTTAAAGGAGCTAAATATTAACTTACAAGAGGAGGTGATAGCAAAATTTAAAAGTATAGGTAAGAATGTGAAACATCTTCACCAAGATAAAGTAATCTGTCATTATATAGACTTCATGCAAAATCCGATTCCACCAATGGTAACTATGGACAGCCAAGAAACTTCCAAACCGATCCCCGATGATGTTCCAGTGGGCGGACTATATGATGGCCAAGTAAAAGTGTTTCTCATATACTTATGACAATTTTATAAAAACTAATTGTTAAAGATTCACATTGGACGAGGAGAATGGTTACCTGTAGCCATTTTTAATATGTGTATGGCAAAAAAAAAAGATTCTATCTTTATCAAAGAGATTGCGTGTTCCTTATTTTCGCCAGACGTATTATCTACATCATCAGTGACTGGTCAACCTGGTAATAAGACCTCAAATCCTGCCAAGCCTGCATTAGACCCCACCAAACTTCTTGCAATTGAAGGTAATTGGTTAATATGTAGATTAATCATTTGAATACATGTTTAGGAATGTCACTCCGTAGATATACTCCAATTCAGAATGTTTCAAAGAGGCGATACCCCTGATCTAAAAATTATCAGAAACTGTGTCCATAAACACGTTCGTGATAAAATTCAGGACCTCATTAGACCACCAAGGGCGTCAAAATCCAAAAAATTAAATAGTCAGAGCAACCCTCAGCATAGATTGTCACCTGAGGAACCTCAAGTAGTAGAAGAGCATGTGCAGGATGCAAATATGGGTATGTTAAATATGATTTTTTTATCTTTAGTACTAATACACCTTTTTATCATTTCTAGAAATTGTTGTGCCTAATACCTTTATCACTGAAAATGCTGTAGTCCTAGTAGATGAGTTAGGAGTTGAAATTGGCCATATATAGTAACGATCAAATTTATTGAATTTCTACTACATTTGGGAATTCACAAATAACTTTTGTTTTACCAGTATCAATAAAAATACATTTAGATTCGTAGTCAGACATAGATATTAGTAGTAATTCATAGGTACTCTCTTTAACATAAAACATATGATTTAGTGTAACTTGCCCACAAATGTATGGTTGTGTGTGTAATTTTTTAACTAGCATAAATGCTTTTTCCTTGTAAAGGATAAATTCTAAAATCTCAACAAAATCTTGGCATTTTGTTTTTATAACAGCGTTACATTTTTTCGATACATTCATGTAATCATTGCTATGAAGCATAGTGTTATTATACACACATCTCTTGTAAATAAAACCATTTTCAGGTACATCAGTTTTCAGGCTATGAAGATCTTCGAAATTGTTAGTTCTTAAAAATTTTAATTTCGTTATCATTTCACTGGCATTTATAAGAGACGCTTTTCCTAACAAAATGCTTTCACCTGCAACAGTCTTTCTTTTGTAATGCCTTTTGTGGCCCACAATTAGATTATTACAGAATATAACAGAATTTTCATTAATAACGTTATTACTTTGAATACGAGGCACAAATGTATTAAAATTATATAATTTCTTAGCAATTTGCTTTCCAATTCCTTTAGGTCCTTTGATTTGCTTTTTAATATGAAAAATTCCTGACTCAAAAGGGAAAGTGCTGTTACACCAAAGTGGGCCTGTTTTTTTTACACAAACAGGTAAGTGCAACATTGTATGCATGTTAAAAGTCATTGCTTCGGGACCGTAATATTCGTTCGCTTGTTTTACAAATAAGAATAGGAGCTCTTGTGCTATATCTATTTCTGAAGGCAGTATCTTGGTTTTTAATAGAATGAAAACTGCCTGTACTAATAAGGAGAAGTGTTCAAGGTATTTCTGTTTTAAAATGTTGTTTAAACATGGCAGTGAATAATAAAGAAGCCAGTTCTTCCATTCGGAAGCTTTCACATTTCTATTTATAGAATATTTTCCCTAAACTTTCTATAGGTTTTTATAGAATATGGTTGGGAAGTGGTTGAATTCTATAGGATATAAATAAGTTTCTATTGTGTATTTATCCGTAACGAATGAATCCTATTGGTATCCAGTGGACTTTCCTAATCAAATCTTAATAAGTTTCTATTGGGACAAATTTCATTGGAAATGGTTGGGAAATGAATAATTTGTATGGGAATGCTGATTGGAGCGTATTATATTGTAATGTGTAATGATTGGGTCCTATTGGCACATAACGGAATTCCCAAGTCATATTTTTATAAGTTTTGATGGGGTAATTCTCAATGGCAATATACACATATTGGTGCCAATAGGACCCAATAAAAAAATTTATTGGTTCCTATAAGGCATTTACAACAGGG